ACAGATCATACACGAACAGATCAGGCCCGAGCAAAGCAGGAACTAACGCAGCAGGCCCGAACAGACCAGGCCCGAACGGATCAGTCCCGAACAGATCAACTCGAGCAGATCAGGCGCAAACAGATCGGGTCTGAGTAGAGCAGAGCCCGAGAACAAATAATAAATTAAATTAGGTGTTTGAACCTCAGAGCTGAAAGCAAAGCTGTGCAACCCCGACATCAAAATCACAACGGCACGCAAAACAACACAAGAGAACAAGTTACATTCGCTGGCTTTTATCATGCCAAGAAGTACAAGCGCGAAGAATCACGCACATAGAAACAAAAATCGTACAAAACGACCAAGTATAACCAGAGATAAGGCCATTTCAAACACAAGACACCCAGAAGGGCAGTCACACATCACAAGTATAAGCCATCACAGCACAAACACAACGAACACCACGGCACGCTCACATCCAACGAGACACAACGTCGGATTGAGAAAACAACCGACCACAGAAGACAAAGACATCATACAAAGGACCTTACAAAAATTCAGCAGAAATACCACAAAATACAGCAAAAATTAAAGCAAAATTAAAACAAAAATACAAGTCAAGCCATCAACAGACACAACGAGAACCACCCTGGGAGCGACAGGTGCACACAGGGATCCCCACAGAGGGACCCCCGAGACGGTGCCTACCTACGACGAGCGCAGGCAGGCACCGCCAAAGTGGCGCTGGATGTGGTCAGCGTTCATCTGATGGACCAGCGCCGCAAAGCGACCTTTCCACTGAGGAACAAAGGCCTCATCCAGCCCCGGCTGGTACACACCACGGGCCTCGGCGCAGCGGGCGAGCTGACCAAGCAGATCCACAAAGGAGGAGGCGAACCCACCGGTTGTCGTCATCGCCGCAGGGACGATCAGAGTTTTTCCATGGTTGAAACCGGTGTAGTAAACGCGCTTCTCCTTTTCGGCTCGGAGAAGGGCAGCGCCCACCTTGATGCAGGCTTGCGAGGTGGTCGGGGGTTGGACTGTGCTTTATCATTCCGAGAAGTACAAGTGTGTGCGTCATCGCAGCATACGCTCCAATTCTTACTCGTTTTCTTGTCGCCCTCGAATTTGAGCTTCGTGTTTTGGGGCAGCTGCCAAAACAAAGTCATTCTTCTTTCCTCCACAGGGAATACCTGCCCCAGGCTTCTGTCATGCCATGAAACTCAAGCGCAGGACTTAGGTACAGAAATGCGCACGGCATCATATAATCATACTTAAAGTTCTCAAAAATACAGCGACAATTCAAAGAAGACTACAAGTTAAACTACGAAAGGCATCACGAGCGCCACCACATCGGTAAAGTGGCGCTGGGTGTAAGTCAGCGCTCGTCTGGACTAAAACCACAAAGCAATTGGCTCGCGAAGATTAGAGGCCTCATGAAGCCCCGGCTGGTCCACACAACAAGCTTTGGCGCAGCGGGCGAGATGACCAAGCAGATTTACAAAAGAGGAGGCGGACAATTGGGCTACAAGCACAGACACATCCAGAAGCTGTTGGGCCACACTGGAAGACACTTGTCCTAGCAAACATTTCAATCATTGCAGTTTGAAGTCTGATAATATTTGTCAGCGCTTGGTCAGCAAGCCTTTTGAACGTTATGATTGTACCGTACCCTCTCATGTCGAGAGACGAGCAAAGCCCGCTTACTTTGTAATGTTTTGGTATACTACCTTGTGTGATGCGCTTGGAACTACCGTCATCTCTTCTAATGATGGCACTTGCAGTTGGGCACGAGTCGCACCTTCGTATCTTCGAAATTATGAGCGATGCAACCATTCTAAGGTGCACCTGGTGTAGTCAGTGTGAATGCTTGCCGACTTTAACTGGTTCAATTCCTCAAGACACCATTAAATCTCTCGCTTTGGCTGGACAAACGTGTCTCAATTCCCTGT